GGGAATTTGAGAGTGAAAATAAAAAATATTGAACTTGGTCAGTGAGAAAGAATATAAAGTACCATAAATTTAATTGAAAAATTTATATTTCATTTCATATTTTTTCTCTCATTTTTCTGTCGTTTTCATAGAAATGAATTTTTGAGAAGACATGACTCCATGACAATGACGATGATAAAGCTTAAATTTATGAACTTTAATAGCGTAAACTCATGCAATGACCCCATGATTTTGTTTTGGTGAATTTTTAAGGCTTTTGTGGTATCATGGAATAAATTTTAGCCGGCGGATCTGAGTTAAAGGATTATAAATTTTTTAAAAAATTGATTTTTTCGATTTTTAATAAAAAATTTTCTTGAAAAATTTTCATCAATTTTTTTCTTTGCACAAAAAAATCATTCTTACAGTTTACACGTTTTCATAAAATATTATTACTATCACGTAAAAATATTAGTTATTTACTGTGGTTTTCATCACCATAATATAGTTATCTCAAAATTAACGATTCAAAGTCAATTAGTTATACAATTAAAACCATATTGATTTCAACGCTAATAAAAATAACGCTATGCGGATCCTATCAATCAATCAGACCATTTACTTTTCGATAGTATCAATAATAAATTTCACACAAATGAAAATATTCCTGAACTTGAATGTGTTTTGTGGCTGGGGTTTTTTGGTGTTGGCTGCGATATAGTGGATGTTAAAATTGGAATTTTGAGTTTTTGGGTTCTGAGAATTACAAAATTGCAGACTCATTATTCAAATTTTGCTAATGGGTTCTCGAAAAACCGATTAGAAATGCAACATCCTGATTTTTTTAATTTTAAACCCGTAATCCAATATTTCGTTTTATGCAAAATCGCATTTTGAATGATTTTTGGGATTTTTCTGAGAAGATTTAAGAGGGAGTATTTAAGATGAAAACTTTATAAACTTGCACAAGATGAATTAACAAATAGGATGCAAATTCTATGAATCACTTTCATTTTTGCCTGAAGGTGAACATCAAGATTCTAATGGAAATGTGTAAAGTTTTTTTTTTATTCAAATTCAATGAAATCGAAAAGCTGAATTAATTTAATTTCCTATTAAAGCAAAATTCTCACTCTCGACAAAATCTGATGGAATTCTATTCAATTATTTCTTTCATAAGGCCATCGTGACTAGGTCATTATTCATTACAACCATATGATCCAATGAATACGGAGCTTTTTTTTTTCATAAAAGCTACAAAGATTGCTTGTCTCATTTTTGGAATGGAAGTGAATTATCTCAGAAAAAATAAGACAAGACAAATAAAATTTAATAAGAGCTTCTTCGTCCTTACACATAAATAAATAAATATCCAAATAGATATTGTATTGTTTTTCTCAATTTCTTATATTCTATATTTTTGTCAAATTGGTTAATATCTACTGACTTTTCATTTTTCAAACAATAAAAAAGAAATAACATAGCGAAGCAAGTCAGTTGAAGATAGATAGAGATAGAAAAGAAAAGCAAGCAAACATGAAAACGTAGATGTATAAATGTATATACATATATACACGATTTATAAGGGCAGAAACGGCAAAATAAGAAATTCCATTAAAATAATGGAAAATATTGGATGGAAAATTCGTTCCATGTTTATCGTAATGCAGAAGAAGCATTTTTTCATCATTTTCTGAGTCTTCTTCATTCTTCATTTTTTTTCCTCTCCTCTTCTCCTAAATTGCTTTTCATTATAATTTCTCCATATTCGCTTTTCCCTTCCTCGCAATATTAAATATATTTAAGAACAATTTTTTCTGCTATCCAGCAAGCAAACAAACGAGCCAGCCAGAGGAAGGCAAAATGGCTTTTAATTTCTCCCTCATACTATCCAGCTACTACCAAGTACAATTTATTTGAACGATAACGAAAAGCAATTGTACGTCTCCATCTCATTCTCATCATAATATAATTGTGAATTTTTATCGCATTTTTAATAAAACAAAAAGAATTCGTTTGTCGCTTGACCCGCTGACTGGGTGTCCATTTCTTGAAGCTTTTGCTGAGTATTTTTAAAATTCCTCAAAAGTATCATGTAGGGCTTAGTCAAAATCTCATCGAAAAGCTTTGACCTCAATTAATTACTTCAACAACCCTCTAAAGCTCATTTTAAAACTTGAATTTAGAAGTTGATTGGAAAATTTTGATAGTGACTTAAAAACACCTAAAGATTAAAAGTGCGCTTTGATCATTTGTCAAATTATGACATCATTTTTATACTAGCTTAATTTTTTTTTCTTTAAAAAAGTCAAAATGACGTTCAGTTTCATTTAATTTTTCTTTTCTTATATTTTTTTTTCTCAAGATAATTTCTTTCCTTTCGACTCTCTTCATTCATTCTTCTAAGAGAGATGGAAAATAAATAAAATGTAGTTCATAGGATGTAAAATACATTTGGATTTAATTGCATTTCGAAAAGAAGAGATTAATTTTTCTTTCAAGACTCTTGTGTTTTTTTCCCATTGTTGTTGTTGTTGCTGTTCATTTTCTTGCTTGCTTGTTTGTTGGAACATTTCAAAATGGAAGTTTTCTTCTTTTTTGTTATCTTGTTGTCTTGTTATTATCATAATTTCTTATTTATTTTCTTAAAGCTGATTTTATTATCATTATTTTACAAAGAAGAAGTCTCTTTGCTACGTCTTTAAAGTGAGGCATGTAAGAGAAGATAAAAAAAAATTAAGCAGCAGACAGTCTTTTTGTGTTTTATAAATTATCTAAAGGATCTGCAATTCATATTAACTTTAAATTCTCATATCAACAGCATGTGAAATTAATGAATATTTAGTATGATTATTGTCTTTTTTTTCTCTACTAATGATAATTAATTAGCTTTAGTCATATATGGACAAATAATTAATTAATTTATTAATTGTAGAAAATTAATAAACTATTTTTGTATACTCTCGCATCTTTGATTGAAAAATTTATCAGATTTTGTGGCTATGAGCTTTATCAATTTCAGGATGATGTGCATGAAATTTTGGATGATTTAAGTTAAAAATAAATCATGGATTAAGCTTTTGGTTAACGTTCCTTTCATTTTTTTTGGTGGGTCAATAGATTTATATGAATTTTTGCGAGCGAATAAACTGCAGAAACTAGGTCAGAGATTCATGTGCTTTTCGGGATTTTTTTATGGAAATTCCAACAGAAAGATGAATATTCCAATGAAATATTATCGATCTGAAATAATCAAAAGCAATCCTTCACAAAAATTATCGTCTATCAGAATCTTGAAGCAAATTATCTCTGAAAAGTTTCTGGGAAAGATTCAATATCCTCATGAACAAATTATTTTTATTCAAATATTAGTTTTCGACATTTTAATTAAGTAACTTCTTTTCACAAGAGGTATTATAGAATTTAAAGATTTACTCAGATAACAATCGAAAAATTGGCAACTGAATAACGTAGCATACAATTAATTTGGAGAGGTAAAAATGTGCCAAAACTGTACACAAATTAAATATAGATAACAATTTAAATGCTATGTTTATCGGAAAAATTTTGTTAATTTCATTTTATAATGAAAATTATATTTGCACTTTTTTTATTATTTATTTTGCTGAATTTTATTTACGACGAAATGTTCAACCTCATCATTTTGGCTACAGAAAAAAAAATTATTACTAAAAGTATATTTTTTTTTCAACTTTTCAACTTCAATTATGTTTTAAATTCCATTTTCATATTAAGTAAATTACAGAAAATAATTGTAAATATCATCAATATAATTTCGCATCATAAAATATATTGTGAGAGAGAATATTGAATTTATGTAATGAGCATTTCAATTAATTATTATTGTAGTATATTTTTGTGTTATTGCAAACCTTCCACTTAATCGACGTATCTCAATCATTGTTTATGTGCTTTAATGCAAAATGAGTGTTGAGTTGAAACGAAAAATAAATTCTAAAAAATTTTCTTCATTATGAAATATGAAACTTCAATATCTATAGTAACTTAAGCGATTGTGAGGAGAGAGAAAGAGATTTGAAACATTCGCACTTTAATTAAACTTGCTGCAATCTTACAATTAAAAATATTGCAATTTCAGTCACTAAGTATGGATGGAAAGATATCTCTTGCTATGAAATATAATTTCTAAAAGCAAAATTATTTTATATTTTGTATCCAAAGCGCATTTCAAACATTGGAATTTAATTAATCAGCCAACAATCAAGTCCGCATAATTTTGCAAGAGTTATTTAATTATTCAGACAACTACCAAGCAAATTCATTAATCAACAAGTCATAAAAATCGAATTGACGTCTAGTCAGATAAGTTAGTCATATGAGTAGCCAGTCAACTACCAAATAGCCAATCATCACCACCTAAGTATAGTAAAAAGTGCGCTAAAAAGTTATTTCTCTAATCTTAATACGATCTGTAATAATTTCAATTCTATTGCACTTTATTTCATACCATATTACATACTTAGTTATTATATATTGAAGACATAAGAAGAACTTATTAGCAAAGAGATTGTTATGAAGTCAAAGAAGCTCTTTTCTTGCTGTTGCTTTTACTGCCTATAATCTAACATTCGATCATTTTTCATTTCAGTTTTTCTTTCTCTCTACACTCTACATGTATAAATATGTCTATATATCTATATAATAAAAAGTATGGCATAGCTATACTCTACTGTACAACATCCTAAACGCAAAAAACGAGTTGTTGAAAGAGGTCAGTAACGCTTATTGTATATGCGCGAGCATTTGTAATTTGTTTTTATGAAAGTAATTGAAGTCATAGTTGTGTACCATCGACTCAATCTACGCCTATATAATATAGACAAACACTTTAACAGGTTGCAGTGAATTCAAGCAACCGAGAACGCAGAATAGCAGGCAGCAGAAACAATGACGATGACGATTATAATAATAATAATCACGATGATATAGAGACAGCGAGGGACGGATATAATCGATATTAAACGAGATTTCACACTTACCAGGACTACCTAGGAAGACTGAAGAATATAAAACGCGCCTTGACGGGTCATTGGCACGTGAATCTGGAGGGGATGACCATTCTCTTCGACACCATCGTCCTATAAATATAAAATAAAAAGGAGGGAAAAAATTGATTAAATTATTAGCTACTGACATTCATGATTATGAAATATAAATTTAATCTTGATGAGATTCCCGTAATCAAAAAAATTTCAAATTTTCTCTTCTGCTCTTTAGCTTTTATGATGCAATGTAATTCCATCCTAAATATGCTATTTGCAATAAAAATTCATAAAAAAATAATTTTTTTCTGGTGTAATATCTTCAATTATCTTTTGCCCAAGCTGGAAAAAAAATTTCATCTTCACTCTGCGTCGCATTTTTATAGACTTTTTTTTTCTTCTTTCATTCACATTTAACGTTTGTAATATCACTCATTGTGGAATATTATCATCATCCCCTGCGATGTCGTTAGTTGTTGTTTCATTTCTTTCTTGTGTTATTTTTATGATATTATTTGGATATTATTATTGTTATATTATATTTTAGTGCTGTAAGGGAGAATTTTTTTTGTTTTTCACATTCATTTTTTTTATAAGTAAAAAAAAGTAATTTGATGGAAAAAATAAAAGAAGAATAATTTTTTGTGTAATCCAGAATAAAATAATGAATTGGGTGGAAAAGTCAGAAGTAAATTTAATTTTTCAAAACAAAAATAGAAAATTTGAATTATTCGAATAATTTTTATTATAGAAATTTATTGCGAGAATGTTTTGATGTGAAAATCTTTTAATAAATAGTTGTGGAAATATTTTGAATCCATTTTTCATTCAACTCGATAAATTTAGATGATTTTTTTTTTAAAATTGGAAACATTTCAAACAATTATTATGGATATTTAATCCGATCGGAAACACCACACCGTCAGCCTTTAACCACACCTGGTTCATATAAAATTCCAATAAATAACATAACTTTGTATGATGAAATCACCAATTTGTGTCTATTTTTCGAGGCTTAACTCCAATTATCTCGAAGTAAAAACTCTTAAATTCCGTTTAATCAAGAAATATTTCAACAACAATTTCTTCGAACTTTAAATTATGCCTTCTCTGCGTATTGTTGTGGCCTACTCATAATATTTTGCCACTTTCCATTAAACAATTTGTAGCCTTTCAAAAAAAAAAAAAAAATTACACAGCACAGTAAAAAAAGAAGAGAAGGAAAAAATATCGAAAGATTGAAATGAACTCAATTGACTTTTTTCCTCTTCAGAATTGACATCGACAAGAAATATAACATAAAACACCAATAATGATCATCATCATCAACTTACAGGAAATTATTTTCCTCTAACGAAATTATTTGTTGCTCGAAGTTACTTTTTTTTTATTTAGAAATGTCACTCAATGAGAATTATGTGTGTTCGATACAAAAAAAAAAATCTTGCTACGAGTATATATCGACTTTCAGAGGAGCACAAATGAGAAAAAATTGACCGGCGGCGACGGAGGAGTATTTAACCTATTTTCAAATTGGAAATATTATATCTTTCCTCAATACAACCGACAAAAACACCAATTTTTTTGAAACATGGGGACATATTTTAAATTGTTTTTGTTCGCTCTCACTCACTCTCGTGCGTCTACAGCGAACACAGAAAATAAAAATCGATAATTTTAAATAACATTGGAAAATGTCATATCTCTGATATTTGAGTCTACATGAGAGACAAATTTTTTTACACCATGGCACATTGCTTTGGCTGACTGTATTTTTATATTTTTGTCATCTCTGCCTGACAGAGCTGAGACAAAAAAAAAATAACAAAGAATATACTGTGAAAAGTTTATAAATTTAAAAATTCACATTGAAGTATTTTATGTTTAACTCAAATGCATATTTCAGCAATGAAATTTATTGAATATGGCATTGTTTGTGTACACAAATTTTTTCAGCTCTTCCTGAGGCTCGATTTCATCCTTCCATTGAGATATAGAAACCAAAACAAAAAAACACCCAGAGACAGAGAATAGTTGACATACACGATAAACATAACGTGTAACGTAAATGAATTGAAATAAATACTGAATAAATTTTTTTTTATTTTTGTGCATGAAATGATAAATGAGCCACGTGACTGATGCAACTGATAGACAGTGAGAGGAGAAAAATTTAAAGCATATAATAGAGCGTTCTTCTGTTATCAATCCATGAAGATGAGTTTATATTTTTAAGGATATTCCACTCGTGGGTGTCTTGAACTCAGTGGGTGTTGAGTATAAGCTTGCCATAATGCATTACTTTCTTTGTGGGAAGTGATTGAAATCATTTGAATGGATATATTTTTATAGCTTCACAAGTGAGGAATCCTTGTTTCTTAATTAGAGTACTTTTCCTCTATTAAATTCATTTGCCCATTAAATATTTTCCGCATATCTTTAAAAATGGAAATGAAAATTCTTGGAAACTCTATCCCTCCTCATGGCATTCAATGCTTTTGCATTTTCTCGTCTTTTTATTCATTTTTTGTATATAAGCAAAGAACAAAATAAATTGCCAGTCATTTATCAATATGTTTCAGAAACTCTAAAGTATCTTTTGCCTCACTCACTCCAGTCTTTGAATTTATGTGGAAAAGGCACCCAAAAATTTTCTTTTTTTTCTTGTTATTTCATTCAACAACACAGCTGAAAGAAAGTATGTATATATAAAATAATAATAATAAAATGAAATGAATGTATGCTATCGATTTTCACCAACAAGGCTTTCTGTACTCTCATAAATACGCATATTTTTGCAGCTACTGGTGCTTGCTCTTCAAATGTAGATTTTCAGTCATATCATGCAAATAGACGAGAGAGTATATTTTCTAGTGTGAATAGAACTTTTCATTTTAGACTTCAGAATAGAAATTAAATACATTCATTTATTTATTTCTATGGTGCATTCCCGCTTGGAGATTTGTTAGATGAGATTTTTTTTTTTATTTTGATTTTCGTCGGCTATTTGAATCAATATATGCAATACCAGTTCTTATGGATAGCATTTTACACTTTTTAACAAAATAACAAGGTTTAATTTTTTTTTGAATATTAAAGGAAGTTTTTGAGAAATATTTCCAGTTTAAGTGACATTTTCAAATTTAATCTGACAAGAATTTAAGTTCTTAGTTCTATCAGAAAAAATAATCCGTCGCTCCATAAGTAATGGACAAACTCATATACACAAAATACACCGAAAAATCATTTGAGATATGAAATGAAATTTTATTCGGTAGATTTTCTATTATCTCTCATGCACAGATCTTTTTCCTTTCTTATATGTGCAGCACATATATGCATATATCGCATATACAACAAAATGTCATGAAAATGTTCACAAAAAAGAGCATATCGAATTGATATGACAGTTTATTCTTTTTTCGGATTAAATATATACAAAATAATAAATAAAAATGATTAAAAATAAAAAGGCATAGAATTTAATTCTTTTGTATGATGTCAACGATGGGATACAACACTTTGCGTTCCTTCATATAAAATAATAAAAAATAGCAACGTTGCTGCACATTCGAAGGAAATGAAAAAAGTGCATCAGGAGAAAATGTGGAGACGAAAAGTTTTTTTATTTCATTGCAAAAAGGGGAAAGAAAACAAAAAAAGTGCTTGGTAATAGTCAGAATTTTTTTTTATTATTTAGAATTGTTACCAAGGAGACACATCAATACGGGTGTATCCGCGCATGTCTTATGTTGAATGACTAGAATACATCATACATAAAGAGGAAATAACAGCAAAAATCTATTGACTGCAGACATATAGATAAATTGCTGCTACTACTGCCTTGCTCTTTAAATCTATATGTATATATATATATATGTATGTTTATGTATGCGCTCTGTGCTTTATGGCAGAAGATATTTGAAAAATTTAATTAAACCTTTCATGCATTGTGCAAAAGTGTTCATTCCATCCTGTCTTTCTCTCGTTTTAATTTTAATTTTTTTTTCTGATTTCCTGCAGGATATTTCAGGATATTTCTTTTCAGAAAGCATCAAAAGAGAGGACCAAAAGAAGAAAAGAAATTGATTCTATTAAAAATATATATTTTGTACATTCATATACATATCCATAAAAGGTTTTTGCTGCTTCTTATAATAGCCTCATTTTTGAATCAGACAGAAAATTTCAATTTCCTATCTTTCACTATCTTTTTCCTGTTTCTTCAATTTTCTTCCTTTATGCCTTGCTCAAAATGAGAAAAACTTTCAATCCTGCAATATATAGGATGGTTATGGAATGAAAATATGAATATGACTATAATGTAGTCGATAGATAGCTAGTTATTATTATATTAAATATTGCATTGGAAAAGTCTTTCCTCTATCGTTCTCACTCTCGCTTCCTTCGTTTCCCGCTTCCTTGTCCATGAATATACATTCAGTTTTTTTGCCAATCATACATGACGTCAATTATATAAAACATACTCAATGTGTATATGTACATATATACATAAATCATGATGCATAACAAAATGGTAATGAAAAGCAAGGAAAAGAGAAAAAATCAATGGAGATAAATTTAATGTAATTAAGCATCAAACAGCAGTAGGAAAATTGCTTTAAAAATTGGAGCACCCTCAACAGTCGAGAAATGAAAAAAAAATCCCAAAAGGAAAACTAAAAAATCAATTTTGCCTCTTTAAATCCTAAAAACTGCTGCAACCTCACAGCAAGAACATTTTTTTTCTCATTCTCTCCCCAGGCTAGAGCTTCACTGATGTCATAAACACACGCAGACGATGGGAAAACTTCTGGTATTTTATAGCACAAAATGTGTATATAGAAATATTTTTAAAGTGAATAATATTAATAATAATCGATGTTTAAGGGAATAGAACACACAAAAATGTATTCATGGTAAGTAGCAACAAATTTAAGTGGGATAGTAAGAAGAGCAAGAGTATAAAAATAAAAATTATGACTTGGCTTTATCTCATCTTATCTGTCGCTGTTGCCTCTGTCTGTCTATCTATCTCACTCTCATCATCGCCTTATGCCATTCAATTTTCATTCATTCTTTCGGAATTTTCCCAC